ACACACACAGCACCCCCAGACACACATAGCATCCCCAGACACACACAGCACCCCCCCGACACACACAGCACCCCAGACACACACAGCGCACCCAGACACACACTGCACCCACAGACACACACTGCACCCAGACACACACAGCACCCAGACACACACTGCACCCCCCAGACACAGCACCCCCTAGACACACACAGCACACTCCCACACATATACAGCACACACACATATATATATATATATATATAAAATAACCCTCAGTGAGTTAACAGACAAAGAAAATTAGAAACCTAGAATGTGACAGCAGATAAAAACACCCTCACACACAGCACCCCTCTTACATACACAAACTGCGCCCCTCACACATACAAGTCCAAATATATATATATACATACACACACACACACACACACACACACACTACAGCACCCCTCACACTGCACCACTACACACATTACGCTCCAGATACACACTAGATCCCTTACTCTATATGCACTCTTTATCCTCTATACACACACACACACACACACTGGGTCCTTTACACAGTAGATCTCCTACACACACACACACTACATTCCTTGTCAGCAAACACATACAACATTCTCTAAACACACCCTCTCTGCAACCCCTACACACACTACGCCACCTATACACACACACTTCAGCCCGTATGCACACACTCGCTGCATCCCCTATAAAACTATGCCCCCTATACACACACTCTCTACAGCCCCTAGCCACACACATTACACCACAAACACAAATTAAATTGACCTATTTACACAATACCACACCACACTCTACACACACGCAATCCCACAAGCAGGCTCCAAACATATGCACCATGCACTTTCCTGGCCCATTTGTCCTCTGGTATCCCACTTGTGGAGACTCCAGAGACAATTTAAAAGCAAACACAGCACAAGCATGTTATTACATTTGCTTGCGCTGGGCAGAACAAATTCAGGGCCTTTTTCTAATGCCAGAGCTCTTCAGCAGGGCTCTGGGCATTGAACCAACATGCTCACTTTGAGAGGGGGCGTGTTGTCATTAGTGATGACAAAACACACACTCTCTGGCCCCGCCCCTTTCTTAGGGGGCCACTCTGATTGAAAAATGCCCGGGCCTAATTTTTTTCCCAGTCCGGCCCTGGTAGAGACCTTCTATAGATGTCAGCTGTTGAGGGTGATCATTTAGGCATACTCCTGGAGGTACATAATGGAGTGTTTTTTTGCAACATATCTCTGCCTATTAAGGAAAAACTCCACACACCATAATCACAGCAGCACTTGGGTAGTGGTTATGGTTCCAGAAGTGCTCTGCCCTCCCCAGGGCCGGACTGGGGATACAAAGCAGCACTGGAAAAAAAATTTGTGCCAGCCCCATAAGTCACTGCGCCATATATTGTCGCGTGTAATATGTAAGGCTATGTCTTGCCAGGACAGATCATTGAGATATATATATATATATATATATATATATTGCTTTTTCTAATATAAAATATTGGTCCTTTCAGGGTAAAACGTTTAATTATACACTAAGCATACTCACATGCAGACACAGGCAATTTCACTGACATTTCAGTGACACACACAAGCTCATTGATACACAGCCTCATAGACAAACAATCTTATTGATATACATCAGCTCATTGACATAAAAACACAAGCTCACTCACTGGCAGGCACACACATGCAAGCAAGCTCACTCACTAGCAGGCACACACACACAGCTTAATGTGGTGGTACTGGTGTCTATAGCATGTCCCTACAGGCTTTTCAACGTAAACACTGACTTTTCAGACAAAAGGCAGTGTTTACATTGCTTCAAAGGACCAATATTTTAGTGACAGTCACTCAGACGGTCACTAGAGGTGCTTCCTGTGTTAGTGCCCTCCCGCCCTCCCGCGCTGCTGAATGAGACTGGCGCCGGAATATGACGTCATATTCCAGCGCCGGTCTCATTCAGCTGCGTGCTGGGGAGCAGAGGGCTGGCAGCCTTAGGCCTGGGGGGCAAAACCAGTCAAGTAGACTGGTGCACCTGCCCAGGATCAGAGCCGGTGCAAGGATTTTTGCTGCCCTAGACAAAATAAAAATTTGCTGCCCCCACATGTCACATCACAATGCCCCACCCATATGTTCTGCCATATGAACTAACGCCAGTGCTGCACACAGTGTGTGTTTACATTAAAAAGCCTGCAGGGACCAGCTATAGACACCAGAACCACTTCATTAAGCTATAGTGTCCCTTTAATGTGAGGTAAATTATAGATTAGTGTCACTAATAATATACTAGATTGCCTACTTACAAGCAGATGAGGATGATGATGGGCTGCAGTTTGGCTCCACTGGTCTGGTGTAGAACAGGATCTCTGGAGGCTGTTTGCAACTGTGATCACAAAATTCAATGTTCTGGGAGAATTGGAAGCAGCTCAATTTTTTGAGGGCCTGACGGTGAGTATGCCCATAAGGCCCACTCATAAGTTCCACCCACCCATGAGTTCACTCACAGGGAGTGGAGTGTGTAGGGGATGTATATGTGCACTGGCGTACATACCAGGGTCGCAGGGGTCGCGACTGCGACCGGGCCCGGCCCACCAGGGGGCCCGGCCGCCCCTGTGACCCGGTATGTACGCCCAGGGCCAGCCTCTTCCCCTGGGGGGCCCAGGAGCCGACCACCCCAGGGTCTCCCTGAGGCTGGCCTGCTGACCCCGGGTGGCCGGTCGGGCAGGCAGGCAGGCGCGCGAGGGAGCACTCAGTGCTTCCTCTTCAGCTCCCTCGCGCACCGCAATGATACCGGAGCCGGAAGATGACATCATCTTCCGGCTCCGGCATCCCTACGCGGCGCGCGAGGGAGCTGAAGAGGAAGCACTGAGTGCTCCCTCGCGCGCCCGCCTGCCTGCCCGACCGGCCACCCAGGAGCCCCACTGGACCCCAGGGAATCCCCCCAGCACTCCAAAAGGTAAGGAGGCTGGGGGGATTACATTAAAAAAACAAAAAAAATTGCGTGTGTGAGTGTTAGTGTGAGTGTGAGTGTTAGAGTGAGTGTTAGAGTGTTAGTGTGTGTGAGTGTTAGAGTGAGTGTGTGTGAGTGTTAGTGTGAGTGTTAGAGTGAGTGTTAGTGTGTGTGAGTGTTAGAGTGAGTGTTAGTGTGTGTGTGTGTTAGAGTGAGTGTTAGTGTGTGTCTGCTAGTGAGTGTTGTTAGTGTGAGGTGTTAGTGTGTTAGTGTGTGTGTCTGCTAGTGAGTGTCAGTGAGGTGTGTTACTGTGTGTGTCTTACTGAGTGTGTGTGTGTTAGTGAGTCTGTTTGATGTCTGTTGGTGTTGAATTAATGTGTTTGTCAGTAGAGGTGTATGTTTTTGTAGAGTGAGGTGTGTATGTATGTCTGTAAGCTGACTGTATCTCTGTCAGTAAATGTGTGTGTGTGTTAGCTAGTGTGTATGCGTCTGTAAGTGTGTGTGTGTGTGTGTGTCTTCAGCACTTACCTTTCTCCAGCGCCGGACTCCCTTGGCGCTGGGGATCCCTCAACCTCTCAGCTCCGAATGCGACCGCGCACGCATTCAAACCGCCCATAGGAAAGCATTACTCAATGCTTTCCTATGGACGTTCAGTGTGCTCCTCTAGCGGCTGTCAGTGAGACAGCCACTAGAGGCTGGATTAACCCTCAGTGAAACATAGCAGTTTCTCTGAAACTGCTATGTTTTCAGCTGCAGGGTTAAAACTAGAGGAACCTGACACCCAGACAACTTCATTGAGCTGATGTGATCTGGGTGTCTGTATTGGTCCTTTAAAGGACCACTATAGTGCCAGGA